CATTCTACATGAATTTCAGTGATAGAACACTATCAAGACATTAGGTTCACTCTGCAGTAAGGGGAAGAGATACCATAAAGGAGCCGATAGCTTCTTGCAAATGCGAATCAATATGCGGAAACGATAGCCCTTATCTTGGTCTCGTCACGACTATTTGCCGAGCCTTTCGTATTTCTCGTTTAGTTTCGATTCTGTCTGTCCCTAAAAAATGGTATCAAAGTGGTGGAATGCATATTAATACGCCATGAAGACACGACAACATAATTCACGCGAACCAGCTTTTCCCAGAACGAATAAATAATACTTTAAATGCCAATCGCTATCGACGCTCACTGTATTTGTTCTGTATTAATTTCACTCTTGCGAAAACACTAACAGGAAGGAGCAAAACAAAACGACGCCCTATGCATTTTTATTCAATGCCAGGTTAGGGGGGTTTGGCGCGTCTGGCCGGGATTAATGGAAATTTAGTGAATACATAGAATAGCAGAGTGAAAGAGAAACGGGAAATAAAACCGAAACCACGTGTTCGAGACTTGGTTCAAAAATGTTGCGTCGGAATTCCCGAATTCGACGCGCATAACTCGGCGTGTACGTACAAGCGCTCTCATGTGAAATTGGAAACCGAAATGCATAAAATTGACGATGAGCATCGATCGTGAGCGGTGTTTTCGCTATGAGTGTTATGCTTTTTTTCAGAGGAGATTCTCGCCACGCGGAAAATGTTTGCGCGAAAATGTCATTCGTGTTAAGTCTGGCATTAAACTAACGCGCACGAAAAACCCCGCCAGTTGCTGGAATCGCGGGTGAACTACATCGAGAGCACTAGTCGTTCATTTCGAGCTTGCTAATCATCAAAAGGCGGTCAATCGTTGAAAAATGTTCCTCGGATTTCAGCATTATTTCTTCATCGATGATTCCATGAAGCATCTTGAACTTCTGTATTATTTTAGAATTAATGGAAGACGGGAATAAATTATTGCTGCTCTGTGAAGTAACACATAAACACACTAAAACTTACTCAAGACAAAGTTCAGTACTTAACAAAGCTTCTATGAAGTTGTTTAGAATTTTACAATTCCAATTAAATCTTCCTGGTGAAATTTACAGTACGTAACAAAATTTCTATAAAATCGTAGATTACTTATCGCTAATGCTAAGGTTTCCAAATTTTGTAGAAATCAGAAACTTAGCGTGCTGTAGCATTGTTAATTTCATTAGTCAAGTTATAGTAGAATTTATGTTTCAAACGCATCCTACTTCACTATTAGACTTAGATTAGATTAGATTAGCTATAATGTTGGAAAGTCGATTTTGATTTCACAATGCTATGAAATTATATTCAACAAATGATGGACTATGTAATATCCATATGTTGTGATCCATAAATGATCATGAAAATTCCCATTCCTATTTATGCTAATTATAGATCGTACCCTCGATGAGACTAATTAGACGCATCTCCAATTTCCCTCCACTGTACGTTCTCACTAGTAATTACTCAGACATCAATCAAGCCAATGTGAAGGGATGGTTATGTATGCAATTATATTATATACCATTATTTGGGTATATAGAATATAATAACAATATAACATTATAGACTAACGCCAACAGAAAATTACTATACTCTTCTAAGCTGAAAATATTTATAAATACATATACAACTCAGTTTTTCAAATACAGAATCTTATTTTTCAAAAATAAAATTAGAAGTAATAGTATTAAGATTAAATATTATGAAGCAAAAAGGTTATTCAGAAATATATAAACACTGTTAGTTTAAATTCTGTTTCCCCTTGATTTGGCAATAAATATATCTTCTCATAATAATATTATTTAACTACTTGAATTTTTTTTAATAGTTTCTGTAACTGTTGAAATAATTATTAATTCCTGATCTATTTTTAATTTTGTTTAAAAAATAGAATCTGTGGATATTATAGTACCTATGAGAAAGTGTAAAAATACTGAAAATTCTGACAGCCGGTTCTTGAAACATCTTTTTTATCCTGCGGATTAATATCATTGATACCAAAGCGTCGACCAATACGAGCACGGTATTGAAAGGGAACTCACGATAAATATCGACTCTTATATGAGGTCGGGGTAAATATTGGGTCAAACGTGAAAATTAGCTGTCAATGATGGAGACAGCTTTAATCGGCAGGGGATTACCGCGTCACTTCGACTTTTACCAAAGTCAGGAAAACAAAAGTGAACACCCACGTGTTCTTTTATAGAAAGAGACCTGCTGAAGCCTGTGAAATCTATATAAAAATGAAGCCCTGACTGATTACAATCAATGTCCAGGCTAAACCCTTGATCCTAGGAAGCTGAAATTTTGCACAGAGGTTTCCTTTGTGATGTATGCAAGGAATAAGAAAGGATATTTTGAAATTCAACCGGTAAGGGGGTAAAAGGGGTTGCAACGTTGGTATTTCACGCGGGTGAAACCGCGGGATGCAGCTAGTTTTCGTATATGGTTCCTAGAATTAATATTCTGTTAGTTATTTTGAAGTAAGCTTATAGGAATTAAAAATATAATTGCTGTTAGAGTATTAAAATTAGTAATACGAGATTGCAGAAAGAGTTTCCAAATATTACCAACTTAACTTTCAATACAATAACGTTAAAAATATTTAACAGCAATTACTAATCCCATCTAGAAACTGTCAATTTTTATATCCACGTCAGTTCAGTAAACGTTAATGACCTGTCTCTAGCAGAAATAATAATTTCCTTCAAAGAGAAATAAACGAGAAATATTTATAATCGGTTAAAAAAGAAACGCAGTGATCAAAGCGCGAATGTTATCGTTAAACCACTACAAACGACGGGCAATTAGAAGGTTCCATAATTGAGCACCGGTTACGATCGGCTGGATGAAAAGAAACAATTCTCCTCGATATCATCGCAACTCGTTTCCAATTAACCATCGCATCATCCAATTAACACATGATCGCCCCTAAGATTAACCAGTTCCATAGAAATCTCTGTCGCGTCGACCCTGTCGAAACCCGTGCTCGCGATTACTATCGACATGGCTAACGACCTCATTAGTTTTGTGGCATATTATGCCGTGGAAAATGAAACACTGAGAGACGTCGAACTCATACATTCCAGAATGGAATCGCGACGCGTTAATTAATTTCTCGTTTTCACGCTCGCGATACGGCTCGCGTCTTTGGACAATTTTAAAGAACGCCTACGAATCTCATTAAGTCGCCAGCAACCGTTGGCCAGAGCTCTTCATTAATGGCAAAACGTGGTGTCATCGATTCTTCAGTCGCAGCGTTGATATTTTTTTTCCTTCCAGACGAACGCAGCGAATCGTAGTTTAACTGCTGGAAAAGAGATCAATGTTTAAATTTTCGTTTCACATCGATTGTCACTAGGGGAAGATAATTCCTTCACTCTACGGAACGTCTTATCGATAATGATTTTTTAATCACTTCAATTTAACCTTTTTCTTTGTGGAAGACAAGGGTGGAAGCTGATCGAGGGCAAGAAACTGTTTTATTTAAAGAAATATCTATTTTAAAGAAATTTCTATTTAATATCTAATTCACATTTTTCTGTGAATTATGGAATTAATATTATTTCATAGTATTGATAGATACCCTAAAATAGTATGTAATAAACTGTGATATCGATTTCGTATACCCCATTTAGTATGCTGCAAAATTATGTTATAGATTATTATATTATTTACTTGAATGAGTAAATGATAAATGATAATGAAATTAAAAACTTGTTTATATTTAAGTAACTTTCCTACCGGTTATTTACACTTTATTAATTAAGACTTGAAGATTTATTACAAAATCGAAAATATAAAATCGATTACAGTAACTCTTGAAAGTATAATTAAAATACATACGGTATTAAAATCAAAGAATAAAGGCAATTATTTCCTCCTTTAGAATTTGAACGCTGATTGGTACAACCCTTTGTTCGATAGCTTCCATTCACTTTTCAGAATTTCTTTACATATATCACATGTGCGCATACACGTATTGTTTCTTTCATATTAAAAATTAAATAATTCGTCGACGCAAATATACGAACTGGCTAGAAATTTAGGTCAGGCGATATTTTGTTCGAATGCTACATTGTTCTTCTCGAATAAAATATACATCTGTTTCAACAAATTTAATTATATATTTAAATTTAACTCTCTTTTGAAAGATACGGTAATCATATATGCAGCAAACGAATTTGAAAGTATCTATACTTGTTTTATAGTTATGAGAACCAACTACAGTAAATCCATTTATTCTAATATTATAAAGTTGAATATTTCTGAATTCAGGAATGTTTCTGCTTTAAGAATAACATGCATACATACATAGTTTAAAAGAATGAAAAATATTCGATGGTATTTACGTATATATTCGTTGATTTTTAGTAAATTTTTAGTTGTAAAAAAATACACAATTCATTCATTACATAATCCTGTATAAACGTACAACATGGATAAAAGTATTCAAAGTTATACGCAATTTTAAAATAATTATTAAAATATATTTATGAAACAAATTGTTAATACAGAACTAAAGATTAGAAAATTAAATCTATCACGTCACTCACCATACATTTATTAACTACAAGTTCGCGACTATAAGACCGTAGCAATTTTTACAAAACTGTCTTGCTTGTACTATGAATATATCATAGTCGACTTGTCGACTTGTGATAGTAGCATTTAAATTACGCACCCTTGGCTTCCAGAGTAACGTCGATTTACGTTCCAATACGCCTGTCATCGCGTATAAAATCACGGAGATTAAACCATGTTAGGATCGGCAATAAAACGTCAGTGAAGCCGTTCTAAATCCGAAAATGAATGTCGTAAAGCTCTGTACTCGGTGACATTGTGCCGTGTCGAAAGGAACCATTAAAGAGGGGACGATAAAATGACTGTATCACTTTTCATTGCATCGCGACTCAAATCACGTCCGACGTTAAACCGTATCCGTTACATTCTTCTGTTCCAGGCGATGAAGATGAGCAAAGTGGGCAACCAGACCAATTCACAGGACCCACAGGCGGTGAATTCCCGGGTATTCGTCGGGAATCTAAACACGTTTCAGTGCAGCAAGACCGATGTGGAGCGAATGTTTCAACGCTACGGCCGTCTGGCAGGTAGGTTTCTCCCGGCGAAATCACATAAACGAAAGCCCGGATCAGCTTTCCTACGTTTTAGAGATTCCTTCGCGTCAGACGTCAGATTTTTTAACGGCGAAAAGCGATGGAAGCGCGAATAGCGATGTCGGATAACAACGAAGAGCATTCCGGGTGCACACCAGCTTGGAATAATCAGAGAATCGACCGCATCTCGAAAATGAAATAGCACATCTGAACAATTTTTAGACTTCATGTTTCTGGGGAAAATATTTCACTTATAACTCGTTTATAATGTACATATAGAAGTGTTTTATTTCCTGTGAGATTCGCAGTAGCTGCCAAGAGTGTCTGGCCAAAATTCAATTTTACCATTTTTACCGAACATAGAGTACTTGGTGTTATTATTAAAATTGTCGGAATCTAACAGCGAGAAAAGATCGAATGTGTCTGAGCACAGGATTATGCTTTCATACTATAAATACTGGTTAGTATAACTGTTAGGTGTCATTTGTGAGAATAGGGATATTGAAATTGAAGTTATTGAAGTTATCAGATATTTTACTTTAATACGGTTACAAGTAATAATTTCCTCGGTGACATGAAGAACATTAAAGCTCAAACGTTTATTGAGTGTGAAAACTGGTAAAAGACAGCACGATCTCTAATTATTCTGTGTAATACGGTTAATCCATTGATCAACATTTTTATTTCAAAGAGTACTCGAAAAATAATAATTTACATAATGACAATGTAACGATTGGATGATCAAGTGTCAATTTATATCACGTATGTTTTACATCAAAAGGTAACTTTATTCAAGTTTCATTTGGGTGTTGGTTTACAGCAGTTGTATAGTGATTATTGTCTCCCTTTCGGTGAAAAACAATCGTTACGTTACGAGCTGAATATGTGAAAAGAATTTTCCTGCGAAATGGAATACAGTACTATAAACATTATTTAAACGAATAACAAAAAATAGTATAAACACAGTATTATCATAAAAGCATTAACTTTAGAATTATAATTACAATATATTTCTTTTATTATATAAGTCAAGTTGTCTGGCGGAGTTACATGGATCTTGCAATTAATGTATTTTATGTAAATGTTCAAAACTGTGTGATCGAAACTATAAATTACAATACATGTTTCAATACATTCCCCTATAAACATATTTGTTCATAGATTTAGTACAGAAATATTGAGATCATTTTATATATTGCAGAATATAATTTTTATTTTTTTTATTTTATAAATATTTGCAGTCTATTTTTAATATTTCAAAGCAACCGTGTCTAAATATTGCTCAGAAACTTTAACCATTACATGTCGTCCAGCAATAACAGAAACAAGGATGAAGAAACGCGTGTTTTCGCGAAGAAATTCGATTTGAAATTCGGTTTCAGAGTCCATCTAATGGTAGATAGTTACACAGCGGGTAAAGTTGAGACGATTGAAAGATCGGCTCGATAATAGGAAAAACTCGAGCTGTTATCCAGTACAAAAAGGTGCAGCCACGGTTCAGACCGAGAAAAATAGCGAGTTGGAAATAGGATTTTCTCGATTCGCTCTCGTCCTCGGTAACCCAATTTGTGCCGTGATAGCTCCTTGACCTTCGATATCCCGATTGGATATCCGTCTCTAGTTTCACGAACTCCGATGACTCTATTGCTTTCATTGTAGCACTAACTTCGTTTAGGAAACCTACTTTATTGCTAGGATCTAAACCCGGTATAAGGAACGATAATAAATTGGAACTACGAAGATTGCGTTTGCCACTGAATTCGGTTTAGCAAAATAGTTTTCGAGACGAAAAAATATTTCTGTAGATACATCATTGTTGTTTGTTAAAAGTCCGTGGTGTTGTGAATCATATTGCGTCGTTGAGTGGAAGATATTGGCACTATTTTTACAACGAACAATGGTTGATTGATCGTATTGGGTTTATAAAGGGGAGAAATATATTTTGGGGTAGGAAAGGGAAAGTAGATCAACGAGACAATAAATTACTACCTAGTAAATAATTTAAATTATGGTTACAATTAACGTATTAACTAGTAATTAGTATATTCAATATCACTTTTTCATGAAATTAAATTTTCAAATGATTATATTTCATAATAACCGAAATATGTGCAAGCTTTTGAAATATTATGAGATTGCATTTGTTAGTTCTGAATCTTTAATTGAAATTCCCAGCTTAAATTACATTTTCGAATATGGTAATTTAATTTTATTGCAAGCTGTGTCACACAACAAAGAAGCTTTTATTATACATTCCTATGTAAATATCGTAATTGTAACGAAATTATATAAACTACTTTTCTCTTAGTTGAAATATTCAATTTATTAATTGATTGAATCGTGTCTGCTATTTCAATATTGAAGCACTTTACATTAGTTAATCGTTAATAAAATTACAAAAAAAAAAACAACAAATTTGCAATTTCCGCAACGGAAAGGAAAGTATCATACTCGTTGATAATGAAAAGTAGATCTTTGAGACAAGTGGATAATGTCTACAGTACTGTCAAGTAGATAAGGTCGATGTATGATCAGACGTTAGATACTACTGACAGAGAATAATACCTAATTCATGTTTCTTTATTTTAATATCGCTGGATGCACAAATTAAGCATTACAGAATTCGCCAGGTCTCATTATAAAGTATAAAAACCTACTTTATTTAGTTGAATTGTTGAATTTAATGGCGAATTTAATCATTTCTGTTTCGAGTAATTTTCCGGCGATCGTAGGTATAGTAAATCTTGTAGGATCATGAGATTGCGAGATTTAACGAACGGTAAGATATGTCATGGACGAAAGTGTGACACTTTTACTGGAGTAAGTTTCGCGAAACTCGATCCTACTTATACGAATTTCGAGTTTCTTGGAGTCTGTTGCGTACAGCTGTCACTGCTGCACTGCTACGATCCCTGTTTGGTGTTTCCGGAGCAAGTAAAATTAAAGCGCAGTCTATGACGAAGTTTCCTTCCAAGTTGCATAATGCATCTCGCATTACGCTTGTAATGAAAACTTTCTACATTACATTTAAATACTTCGATTAGTTAAAAGGGCGTACAACATGCACGCAAAGAATGAGTCAAAGATTTATTCGTACTTCATTCTTTCATTATTTATTTCTTCAAGTTTTATTAATTTTCAGAAAGACGTGTCAAAGTAGTATTGTTTGAGGTCTTCTAGAATTTCAGATGTTAATGTAAGAAAACTATCTTCGAAATGACTAATAAGGTATCTACGTGCACAGTAAAATACCTGAATGTATTTAATGAAAATATGTGTCTAAAATACCTGTAAATTAAATGGATTTATGTATTTAGTTGAACTTGTCAAAAGTTAAGAGATATCTAAATGAAAATATCAGCAGGTCACAGATAATGACTGAACCAATTAAAATACACGCTTTGAACATAAATATCAGCTGATAAAAAAAGGATATTGTATTTCTAAATAATTTGTCTGTGTATCATGTGTCATCAAGTTAAAAACATGTCAATTGAGGTAGAATAGACGATGTTCTTCATCTGTAACTTACGGCGTCTAACTGCTTGTTGACCTTAACTACTTGACAATACCGTCGACTGTTTCCATTTTTCCTGCTGTTAGTAATCTTCTTTTCATTTTCAAAAACTAAAATACCTTTTTTATTATATTATTGCAGAATATTTTCTTTGTAATCATATTACAAATTCAATTAAATATTACAAATTACTCGTTACGATAGAAATTAACGTATAGTGTTTCAAAACTGAAATAACAGACATTATTTTGTGTATGATGCCAAATTAAAATGAGACATATAATTAAACCAATTAAAATGAGACATATAATTAACTGTCAATTTTAACAAACAATAAATTAGTTTACATGAATTCGTTGCATTCGCAATATTCACCTACCCATATTAATACAAATTGAACACCCCTTCGTTGTGGATTTCAGTAGACAATAAAATTAAATTTAAATATATAACAATTTTAATTCAGGTTTTATACAAAACTTTAACCAATCACTAATCATTTTCGCTTTTCATACTCATATTTGTTTAACCATAGTCAATGGTTACCATCTTTTTATTACAAGTATTTATACCAATACCTTTTTATGCCAAGTTCCCTAAAGTGATCCAGAATAAAATTACTGAAACTTTAAAAATTGTTATCACAACTTGCCTTGTAATAATTCATTCATGCGGAGGAATAATTAACATTTTTAATAAGATTTCTTGTCTTGGATCGGTGGGGGAAGACAAAGACATGCTCTATAAAATTCATATCTCCATTATTTCATCGAATTTCCGCTTGAGATTAATTAGAGTACAATCTCGAAAACTTTCACTTGAGAAAGGAGCAGAAACAAAATCAATTCTCCAACAGCCACAGTATAATAATTCCTCAACACTTTATTTACCGGGAGCCTACTTATAGGCATTTAATTCCAGTCTTTAGCTTTTCGAATTTATTTACTGTGTTGATGGTTGTCTACTTACAATGTTCAGTTTTTGGAAACAGACTTGGCTTTCAATGTACTTAGTAACAGTATGGAGGAATTATTGTCAGCCTAGATTGGTATATGCTACTGTAGAAGATTCTTTTTTGAATTAAAGATTGTTTCTAAATAGCCCGGTAGATAAAGTGTTAACAATAAAATAAGAATATTCCAATAAAACTCTTCCTCAGAGTCGACAATTATACCTTTGATTTCAATTGAACAAATCGCTACAAATACCTATGTTATCTCAAATAAACATTTTCGATGAAAATGAGTGACCAGTTTTGACTGGGACCCAACAGAAGGATCTGGTTTAATTAACGAGACGTTTCTCGCGAAACTCCGCGAAACATTTTCGCTGCGCGACAGGACAGCGTCTTTCACGGTTCCCCTGGAATCTTTACGGTTGAAAATCGGGATCACAGCGAGAGTTTAAGTCCTCTCTTCATCGCGCCGTTTCCGAAATAAAATTAAACGGGAGTTCCGGTGCGGTAGACGACATTCAATATAATTCAGGACGTCCACTTGACCCGCGCAATCTGCGCCGTACAGCTGTCACCGTTGCCGTAATGAATGGTTGCCCTGTGTTTGGCTGTGGTAGCCGTCTTATCTGGCGAATCGAAGCCCCTTTTAATTCCTCCACCGGCGCTCAAGTTCTGGACAAAGTTCGCGCAGTCGTATTGTGCGCGCGGCGCATTTATTGTCTTCGCGCTTTATCGAGGAGACACCTGAAAGTAAGCTGTTTATCGGCAGCTCCCAGACACCGTTGTCCTCGGCAGCGTTAGTTTCCGCGAGGTTTCGAGCTTGCTGGTCGGGATTCAAAGAGAGTCCGGAGTCTGGGCGTCCGATTGGACCACGGTCCAACTGAGCCTCGACCTTCCGATAATGCCACGACAAAGTATCGCGTTAAATTGTTTCGAATTAGTACCTCGTTACTTGCCTCGAAGCTCGTCGATACTGCGCCCCTATCTCTGGTTGATACGCCGAGCTGAAGTGAAGATAATTAAAATCCAACTGTCTCTTTTATTTTTTAAACAAAAGGGAGAGGGTTGCGTTTTGGACGGATAGAATACATTATAACTATTAGTTATATTTGTATTAATTATTTGAAATTTTCAAAGAACATTCCTTTTTAGTTATCCTCACGCGCCAATTCCACTCACAATTAGGATAGATTAATGAAGCACAGTATTCCTATTTTTAAGTATACTTATTTTATTGAAATTTTTCGTGATCAAGGAATAAGCTAGGCAGTGTTGCTCGTGAATAATGAATATATCATAATTATTCGTTATATTTTTATTTATTATTTGAAATGTTCATAAACCATTCCTTATTTATATTTCATAATTTTTATGCTGTCCAACAATATATAATAACCCAAATATCATGAACGATATTACATTTTTATTGTCTAAACACGAACATGAAGTGACGAGTAATGAAAAATTATTAATTACACAGGGTATATAGAATTCAATAACAAATGATTCGAATGAGAAATGATGAATAACGAACGAGGCTAAAGGCACCAGGTATTATTATTAACTGTACACTGCATACACAATTCGAATTCAAATGACGCAAACAAGAAATGAATGAATAACTGCAATTATTATCAAAATAGCAAATCACCTATATCCATTTTTAATAAAAGTAGAATTCTACATAGTCTAATAATGCCAACGTCATTTCGTAAATGTTGCCTAAATAACATTCTGCGCCAAGGTAATTCGCTCCCGCAGTGATTTTTGCGGCAAATCGGAAACAGCATTCATCATTCAGACGCGTAAAATTGAATCGTGCGCAACGTTCGTCGTTGGACGACGAAACGTTCGTCGGATCGTGCTTGCTCCCCTGTTTTTCCCCTATGTATTTTTCCTTTTAATTCAATTTCGAGTCCACCTCGTTAGCTGGGGTCAAATAAAAACGCAGGATATGCAGATGTCTGTGGGAAAAATAACGCAAACCGCCGCGATAAGAAATATCAAGTTACTCGGCCGGTTGATGCTTTTTCCCCCTGTCCCGGCACAAATCCTACAAACAGTATCACCGTCAATCGTTACGAATTATTGCGTTTCACGGATTCGGAAGCGAAATGCACCCGACCCCGATACACGCGTGTGCCACGAGTTTAATACGATTTTCGAGTCCTCGTTCCTTGGCCCACTCGATTCGGTGCAATCTGCTCCGCGCAGCTGTCACCGTGGTCCGGCATTCCGCAATGGAGACCCAGCTCTGTCTGACAAGTCAGACCTTCTCCAATTTCACGTTTCCCTTGACTCGAACCATTCGCAATAAGAACACGAGGCCTTTCTTCTCGTTCTCTTCCCCCGTGCCGCACAAAACAGTCGTCGGGAGAGATAGCGAATTGTCGTTGCGGTAAAGGGAGCTCGAAAACTTTTCCAGAAGTTGTCGATGCTCGAGAAAGTAAGGTGGACTCGGATTCCGCTCCTGTCTGTATTCCCGTTTCCTCGTTGGTGTAAAGAAGATATAATTTATACCTTTGTGGAGGGGCCACGAGGAATATTTCCTTCCCCCCCCCTCCCCTCTCCACCCTTTTGTCTTTTATTATTTTCGAACGGTATTGCAGCGGTAACGATCCAAGCCGTCTGCCTCTATCAGTCTTGCGTACCGTTCTGTGGCGAGAGCGATGAACACTCCGCGAAAGGATTTCTGTAAATGTTTGTACCGCAATGGTTTCTTGCTGGGGATGCGGTGTAATTTGATTCTTGAAAGATAACGACACGTGGAAAATATAATTGAGATCATAGCTGGGTTTATAAAAATCTATTTGAGGTACTTTTAGTTAAAACTCAACGAAATTTTATTACACATATCTTATATGTATACAATTAAGTTTTACATATATTTCATTATTGATAAAAATGTCATTAAATTTTCTACACATTTAACACACTTTTATAACTCCGTTTTAGAATGTTTATATAAACATATATATTTAATTATTTATAAATCTCTCGTTTACGAATCAGTCCAATTATCACCTCAACAAAAATTTAACTTTTTACATACTAAACGCTTATTTTATGCCTTCATTTCATATAAACTATACAAGCTTACAGTTATGTATGTTCTCTCATTAAAAAACAAAATCCTGAAGCCTAAGTCAGAGAAACCGTTGCTTGTTAATGGTGGCTCGGTATGTGGCAATAACCGATTCGCGGAACACCGAAAATTTGAATACCTCTGCGCTCGGGTGGCATTAACGATCGAATTAAAACTCAGCTGGACAAATTCTGGGAAACTCCGAAAATTCGAAACGCTATGTCATAATATCAAGGGCCCCCCGAGGTACCCAACCGTGGTGCGTTTTTCGTCCGAAATTTTTGCCAATATTTTCTCGTTTCATATATTTTTCTTTTTTTCATTTTACATCGGCTACCACATGTGGCACCCAGTGTCATCGATTCCATGGGCAGTCTGCGTGGCAAGTCGGCAGATACGTTCATTTTAACGCGGGAGCCCCTGTAATCTGTGTACCCGTAATAACTTTTGCGTGGTTAGCAGCTGACCATGCATGGAATTCATTATGCTGAAACAAATATGTAAATCTCCATATATTCCTGCCACGGTTATACATATATAGACAGGGTTATATGCGGCCTAGATACAGATATATATCGTACGACACGCGTCCACCCCCCGAAACGGACGGTGACGGTTTTAAAAAAAACTTATCTGGCCACGCCAGTTGCGTCGGACATGTTAATAATGTCAAGGGGTTGAAAATGTCGAGCACTTTGTGCTCCTCCTTACGACCTGGACGGGGATGTTATTTTGCTGGAACTTCACGCGTATTGTGGCAATAACTTCCAGTACGTTACGCTTCCTTCATTAACAAAGTGAATCTTAACCCCTTCGTGTCCTCGATATCGATTTCGATCCGAGTCGGCTTCGAACGGTGGACGATAGACTTCCCTATAGCGCTGTTAAACGTTACGCGTTGTATGAATTCGAGTTACAAGCAACGAGGATGGTAGCAATATTAAACAGACGCTTTTTATCGACCAATGAAATCGGAAAGCATGTTCTCTGAATACGGTTGAATTATGTAAACATGACTTCGCCAAAAAGTAAAACATCTGTTTTTGTATAAAATGTTTTTTACATTGACGCGGCAAATGCATTTATTATTTGTATTTCGACTGCAAAAAGAATGAATTTTTATACTAAAAAGACTTTGTGTCGTTGATGTTAACTAAAATATTAACAAATTTTACATGAAAAGCGTCCCTATCGTTCTTTGTACACATTTAATTCAAATAAAATTTCCAACCTTTCCGTGTTTTTACACACGTACATGTGGTAATTCCACTAAAAGTATCGACTGAAACATGTACTGAAATTGCATGTTTAAAAATGGGAATGAAATATAAATACCGTCGATTTATAAAATTGCAAGACAAGTGTTTCGCGTGTGCGTATGATGTATATTTTGAAGTGCTTGTATTGACTAAATATTTTCCAGACTTTAATTACAAATGATAAGTAATTAAAAGAAATAAATTGTTGAGAGATTCTTACATATATTATTCTTTGAAGATGTTACTCCACAGAACGTTGTTTATATTGTTACGTAAAAATTACAATGAATACTGTGTTAAATAATAATCAATAATTGTAAGCATTGCGGTTTTTATTCTTAAAAATTGTCCATTAGGACTAGGTAACACTGTTTCGATCAGTAGCCTATTAACGGACTTTTTACACAGAATGTTATTAAAATGAATAACATTTATAAATCTAATCAGTATTGGTTAGTAAAATGTTAAATTAGGAAGGAAAAAGTCATGCGTATTTTATTCCATTGTGTCCTCATATTTCCCACCACTTTATACCGATTGACGTACTAATCGACTTTAATCACTATACGCATAAACAAAAGTTGAACAATGGAAATGCTTAGTTTTGTACTCTCGATCCGGTAATCGCGATATCCCGCTTGGTTCGTCGTCCAACGCCAACGATGACAGACGCACCCTCTGAAAACTCCTCCTGCCTCATCAAAATTCATGGAAACAATTTTAATTAAAGATTTCTCCTATTATCTTCCACGGTATTCCCGTTCCACTCCATTCGGGCCGTCCGAAGAAAGAACGGGGTCGTTTTGGAACGTCACGATCGTTTGTTGTTTCAGGAATATCCATGCACAAAGGCTATGCATTCGTGCAATTCACAAATCCCTTTGATGCTCGCAGCGCCTGCCTCGGCGAAGACGGCCGCACCGTTCTTAGCCAGATACTCGGTAAGTAATTTCACTTCCCAAAACATTAATAACTCCCTCCGGTGCTCCGCAAGCTGCCGATTTAAACAGTAATTGTCTTAGCCGTTTTGCAGCGGCTTTTACGCGCCGCGATAATTAATTATTAGCGGTAACAAATTTTATTTAAGCGGTAACGTTAAATATGGCCGCCTTATAAAACACTCGTTATTCACTGGACTCACGCGCGCTTTAGCGACTGTGTTTTTCACTTTAATGAGCAGTGGTCAGAAAACAGGCATTTTTTATTCTTGAAATACAATCTTGCATGTTTTGCACAATTTGCATGTTTGTTTTCCCTTTAAAGCGACGACTGTTTAAAATAAACAAAGGTGGTTGCCTCGTAGCATTAATGCTTTTCGATACACGGTGTTGAATATTATTTGGCAGGATTAGAAGAAGATAGGCATTGTAAAAGAGAAGGTGAATCAGGAGGAAAAGGCTTGGTGGTGAATATACGTTAATTAAAAATAGAAAATGTTAGAAGGAAGAATGGTGACTGATAAATATTGAACAACTATACATGAGAGAACTAAGATTTCGCTTTACTTTTTCTGTATTAGAAAAGTACTATAAGTTCCATAAGCTCAAAAACTGAAGAACCACTGTATCATCGGCTGGGTTATTAAAACAGTCCAATTCATTCGCGAAGTGCCCTATTCTTTGCTATCTCCGATCGGAGCGCGTCGAGCACGCGTGAAATGGATTATCCCAAGAAGTAGTTCGGTGTCCAACGCATGAATGCTTGACGGGGACAACTACAATACATCCAGTCCGCGAATCAATTTGGAATGCTGAAATTTTGAAGTCAAGGATCGCGATCGTTCGGAAAACTGCTCTCGCCTCGCGAAGTTGACTCGACTCGAAGCTTCTCCGTAGCGACGAAGATCGGGAAACGAGCCGAGCGGATCTTTAAAAGCGAAGTATCATCGATCCCTGGCCATTAGTTCGAAACTTCTCCTGGGGGACCTGACTCGAGACAGGGCTGCCTTCGTTCGAGAGCATTTAGTAAACTCGCCAATTTCGCGGAGAATCGGGTGTTCTTACCTCCCCGTTATGAGCGTGTACGATTTTCGTCCTCGCGAGCAGATACTCGTGGCCACAAACGGCGATCGCGAGAAACTCGAAAGTCTATGTTTCAGCCGCGACGTGAATGCCACTCGTAAGGGATCTAGGGGGCATTTATGTAAAAATAAACTACTAGTTATTTTCTTTATAAAATTTTGGACATGAGTATTCTTATGTGACTTTGAAATTTATTAGAATTAGAATTTTTAGAATTTGAAAATTAACTGTCAGTAAATTTTTTGTAAAAGTTTGACTCTGAATTAAGTGGCGTGGAATTAAATTTGAGATAAATTTTGTTCACATCATTATGAAAAAAAAAGTCAACAAATATAATCTTATTACAAAATCCGTAGCATCATTCGTTCGATATATTTCAACGAGTATGTAAACAAAAATTTGTTTCAAATTATTTAATCTTTAAATCATTTCCCCAAACGCATTTGTACTCCATTGTCTTATGAATAAACCTATGATCCTAACAAGCTTTTAACAAATCTGATTGCCAAACGTTGAAACAAAGAAACTACAACATGACAATAAAATAATTTGGAAATGCGACTGGTCATAATTTTCTAAGTAATGTGAACAATTACATACGTAAATGCTGCAATACTGCAGCAAATGACAAAAATTCCGTAATTTTCAAAAAATAGTCAATAACCCAAGTCCGTGTCATAAGTCCTGCGTATTAGGATTCCGCTTGAATCCTTAATAGACCGAATCGCGACGCGTTGACACCAGAGCTTCGAGTTTGCAATTTCGTGGCTTCCGGAGAAGAGGTTTGTTTAACCTGCGAACACAGAACGCGAGCCCAGTCCAGGTAGTTCATCTTCAACAAGCGGCCGCAAGTACTGCGGTCAATAAGACAAATATACGTGCAAAGAGAAATAAGGATCCCTTCGTGTTGTTGACTTGGGCAGAAGGATCGTGTGTTGGAGATTATTCCTTCTGGGTAAGAGTACATGGAACACAGTTCGCTCTGAACACTGGATATAGTCTTCAATTTACCGATTAATGTATTTTACCGAAGTACGGAAGTTAATTTATTGATAGTACATTGTTCACTCGTGTTTCGAGAACTCATGCTGATGGAATTATTTAAATACTGTATAACAATTAAGTACTGCTTAGAAATCGAAGCAAACTTTAATACGGAGATATCTAACTTAGAATATTTTTGTATGTTTAAAAGGATTGTTTATAAAAGTGTTAACATTAAAAAGTTGTTAGAGAAAGATTTACTTATGAATTAGTCCATCTCCAATGCTTGCATACAGCACCGCAAGTAGAAACAGTAGAAACGTCGAGTATTGGTCAGACACACCAGGCAAGGCGCTCTCAATCCCTCCAAGTATTCTATTCTCAGAATTGATTTTCTTAATAACGAAGCATTGTATTGAAATATTTTATTCTAAATCTTCAATTTATTTCCAAAATCACCTGTTGATATGACTTCTTCAGATAGTCTGTTATTATTGCACTTTTCACTAAAATACACAAAATTCTTTAAACCATTTACACACTAAAAATACTAACACGAATTCATTTCCATTCATTACTACATACTACACTAACAATTTCTGTTGTCCTCGTTGTTACACTTTTCACCTAAAAACCCAAACAAGTTCATTAAACCAACGTCCCATTCTCTCGAAGCTTCTCCAAAGGTTAACGCCAGGCGACTACATAACAGCCCCCCGATAAATATCCCTCAAGGCAACTCTGAATCCACTTCCAATCGGCTATGCGTCTTTCATCCTCCTCCTGGGAACACCTTCCGAAAAGAAACTTGCGCATTAATCAAAGACAGAACTTTATAAGTTGGACGTCGCCATTGAAATCGCGAGACCGCCCTGTAATGGTGGTAATCGTTGTTGAAAACGAGACCTTTTCTCACGTTTCCCCTCCCCCCCTTGCGCTATGGTAGCCACCAAAAGAGAATCCATGAACCGAAGTTACGCAATACAACCAGCAAGGATCAACGATACAGCCTGCTACTACGGCTGTGGTAGGAACCACAATTGCTATCTACAGGGATTCTCTTTCTTCATCCCTCTTACGGTCAGTTTTGCATTAACCCTTTCAGACCTGGCGTCCACAATTAAGGACACAAAATTTAGAAGTTTAGAATGATTGTCCTTGTTTCTGCGTATAAAGAAAGACCAATTTCCCTCGAAAGCTACACTATCAGGATTTTTTTTTACTTTTTTCATGCTAATTTTAGTCCAAGTTAACTCTAGAAATTGAATGTCATTAGTCCGAGAAAGAAAAATAATTCAGGCCTGATAGGAAATGACATAATAAAAACAAAATGGTTGTTTGAATTTGGTCACTATACTTCACGAACAAAACATTAAATAAAGGAAACGCTCTTCTAGCATCCCTGCGCTATGGGGGCAGCCACGAAAAGTGTATCCATGAGTCCCGCCGATACAACCGGCAAGGATCAACGACACAGCCCGCTACCACGCCTCCGGTAAGAACCGCCGTTGCTATCTATACGGATCCTCTTTCCTCGTCTCTCCCACGGCCATTTAGCACGAGTTTCGCTCGCTCGACTCGCTAGAAATCTTTCTTTGGCTAATGCAAGAACTGTGTTTCCACTGTAGCTCGCAGCCGCCTACCTTCCGGCGCCCATATACCCGGCGTACATACACGTTCGGCGGGTTGTAGGTAGGGGGCTGAGGGGTAGACTCGAGGTTGGGATACCGTGGGTGACGCGCATTTACAAGTCCGACTCACCACAGGGAGACTCGAGGGGCGCCAACCCCTTCCCGTTCCTTTTTCGCCTTCCTATATAATTCTCACGGCTGCACACGTTTCCGCGTTACATATCGCAACTTCGGTCGTGAGAAAAGCCCGAATAAAATTGCGACTACTTCTGGTGTACCGCCGCAATTTCGATGAATCTATCAGGCTACGTGTCTTCAACGCGGCGGTTGATGAGACGTTATACTTTATTATTGGGAAGACGTGAGATAGAGTCGAATGGGACTTGGTAGGGAATGATAATTAGTATCTAAATCTTTTGAATGGGGTTCTCACTACCTGTTATGTCTTGGAGGGATGATAAATACTACGTGTAGGAATTTACGCAGGTTTTTCTTTCCAACTCCAGACGATTTTGAAAATATTTGACTAATGTTTCACGACTAACGTAAAATTATATAACACATAAATTAGTGTATGAAGATTATGTATTTTAATATTTTACTTATCTTTACACCTTTAAAAAATGTACATTCTGAATTGTATTCTGAATTGTACATACAAATGACCTCGTCTTGGAAATGTGTAAAATTAACTTTACCTTTACACAAACTAATTTCACTACAGACATTCGTTTGTTAGAGAGTCTCAAGACATCAAATATGATAAACACTTTAGAAACAAGTTTCTGCCATTGTCGAATTTAAGATAAAGAACCACAACAGCCATTTTACACTTCCTACAAAAATACACAAATGGGGCTTGCGAACCTCTTCACGGCTAATCGTTATTGTCAACGCTTCAATGTTTGGTAAGATCTAAAATAAACAAAGATTGTTGCCACTGTGGTGTCACCTAATTTAGCAGGTGAATGCCAGTGGCGACTGAGAGTCGTCTCTCAAATTGAATGGATCAACAGCGACGGAATACAGTTGCATGGATGGAGAATCATTTCTGTTGGCGATTCGCCACCCAAAAGCCGGTAGTTCGCGGGCGCATACAGTAGAGAAACGCTTCAGGCTAGTGAAACCCAACATTCGCCGGTCAGGGGTGAGCGATGCAACCGAGATTGTGGGCAGATATAATTATCTCGACCGGCGGGCGCATCCACGGACAGGGTGAGCGTTGAGCTTTGAACGCACCGAGAAATTGGAGAACAAAAGAGGTGGGGTGCGGTACAATATCGGGCATTGCGGCTGGGAGAGTTT